GTTGGCTATTGGTTTTTCATAAATATCCTTAATGAGGTTGAGATTAAGACCTTCTATTCCAATTTTCTGTAGCGTTTTTATCATGAATGGATGCTGGATTTTGTCAAATGCCTTTTCTGCATCTATTGAGATAATCTTATGGTTTTTGTCCTTGACTCTGTTAATATAGTGTATTACATTTATTGATTTATGCATGTTGAACCATCCTTGCATCCCTGGGATAAATCTGACTTGGTCAGGGTGTATGATCTTCTTGATAACCCTCTGTATTCTGTTTGCCAGTATCTTGTTGAGGATTTTTGCATCTATGTTCATTAGGGAGATTGGTCTGTAGTTCTCTTTTTGAGTTGGGTCTTTCCCTGGTTTTGGAATCAAAGTAACAGTTGCTTCCAGGAATGAATTTGGAACCCTTGCCTCCCTTTCAATTTCCTTGATGAGTTTAAAGAGTAATTGCTATAATTCTTCTTTAAATGTCTTGTAGAATTCAGCAGTGAAGCCATCAGGACCTGGGCTTTTCTTTGTTGGTAAATTTTTTTATTACATTTTCAATTTCACTTATTGTTATTGGGATGTTTAGAATTTCTATATCTTCTTCATTTAACTTTGGTAATTCATATGTATCTAGGAATCTATCCATTTCTTCTGTGTTTTCCATTTTATTAGATCACAGGTTCTCAAAGTAGGTATTGATAATCTTCTGGATTTCTGCTGGACCTGTTGTGGCTTCACCTTTTTCATTCTTAATTGCATGGATTTGAGCTTTTTCTTTCCTTTTTGTTTTTGATAAGGGTGGCTAAAGGTTTATTGATTTTATTTATTCTTTCAAAAAACCATCTCTTTGATTCATTAATTTTTTGTGTCATTCTCTTAGTCTCCATTGCATTGATTTCTGCTTGGACCTTTATAATTTCCTTTTTTTTATGAGCTTTCGGTTTGTTATGCTCTTCTTTTTCTAGGAGCTTGAGGTGTTGCATTAGGTTATTTAACTGAGTTCTCTCTGTTTTCCTAATATGGGCATTCACTGCTATGAATTTCCCTCATAGAACTGCTTTCATTGTGTCCCACAGATTCCTGTGCTTTGTACTGGCATTATCATTAACTTGTAGAAACTGTCTAATTTCTTCCTTAATTTCCTCTGTGACCCATTGGATGTTCAGGAGGGTGTTATTCAATTTCCATGTGTTTGTCAGAGTTTTGCAATTTCTTATGTTATTTACCTCCAATTTTATTGTGCTATGGTCTGATAAAATACAGGGGATAACTTCGATTCTTTTATATTTACTTAGACATGTCCTATGAGCTAGCATGTGATCTATTTTTGAGAATGACCCATGTGCAGCCGAAAATAATTTGTATTCTGATTTTGTGGGGTGGAACACTCTGTAAACATCTATTATGTCCATTTGTTCAATAGGTTGGTTCAGTTCTAGAATTTCCTTGTTAATTTTTTGTCTAGATGATGTGTCTCTTTGTGATAGGGGGGTATTGACATCCCCCACTACAATTGTATTAGTGCTTATTTGGTTTTTCATGTCCATTAATATTTGTTTTATATGGTTGGGGGCATTCGTATTTGGTGCATATATATTTAGGATTGTCATCTCTTCCTTTTGGATTGTTCCCTTCACAAGGATGTAGTGACCATCTTTGTCTCTTAATTAGTTTTGGTTTGAAATCTATTTTGTCTGCAAATAATATTGCTATGCCTGGGTTTCTGGGTTCCTGTTGTGTGGAGAACTGTTTTCCATCCTTTTATTTTCAGTCTATGAATTTCCTTTTGAGTTAGGTGTGTTTCTTGTATACAGCATATTGCTGGATTTTGCTTCTTAATCCATTCTGTCAGTCTGTCTTTTGATTTGTGAATTGAGGCCATTAACATTGATAGGTATAACTGAGAGATATTGACTCATCCTTGTCATGATGTTTGACTGTTGTTGGCTCTTTTATTTCTTATTTTTCCTCCTTTCCCTTTAGTGTCTTACCTTGTCTTGTGGCTTCCCTCTGTTGGACCTCATGGAGTTGTGGCCTTCATTGTCTTTTTCTAGGATGTTGCTTAGAATTGTTTGGAGTGCTGGTTTGGTGTTCATGAACTTTCTCAGGTGTTGTCATGAAAGTATCTAATTTCCCCATCAATTTTGAAAGATAATTTTGCTGGATACAACAGTCTAGGTTGAAAGTTATTTTCTTTCAGGGCTTGAAATACTTCACTCCAGGCTCTCCTTGACTTGAGGTTTTGTGTTGAGAAGTCGGCTGTGATTCCGATGAGCTTTCCTTTATAGGTGATTTGTTTCTTTTCTCTAACTGCCTGTAGAATTTTGTTCTTCTGTTGGGTTTCTGGGATCTCGACAATTATATGTCTAGGTGTTAATTTTTTTTAATCATGGCTAGTTGGAGTTCTATCTGCCTCAATTATCTGTATGTCCAATTCTCCACCTCTGTCCGGGAAGTTTTCTACTATTACTTCTGTGAACAGCTTTTTATGTCAATTGTACTTTCTCCTGTTTTTTCATGGACTCCTATCAGTCTTATGTTATTCTTATTTGCATCATCTTGCAGCTGCTGGAGTGACTTCTCATGGTCCCTTGCTATCTTTAACAAATCTCTGTTTTCATGGTCTTTAACCACAATCCTGTCTTCTATATATGATATTCTATCTTCAGATTGTCTTAATCTGCTCTGCATGCTTTTAATGGAGTTTTTAATCTCCTGACTATCTGCTTGAATCTGTTACATGGATTCCATTTCTTTCTCACGTTGGGTGATCATGGTTTCCATTTCTTTCTTATGCTGGGCATTCTTGGCTTCCAGCATGTTTCTTATTTCATCTATTTTCTTATCTGTTTCTGTTCTAGAGCCTCTAATCATGTCTTTCACTCTGCTCACCATCTCTGTAGTTATCTGGAAGATTAATTCTGCTTTGAATTTTTCTAGAGCCTCATGCATCTGTTTTGTTACTTCCTGTGCTATCAGTTCAGGGTGTCCAGGTGGTTATCAGACTTTTCCACCTCATTTCCACCAGAATTTGCCTTTTGTGGGGTGGAAGCCTGAGTTTGTGCCTTTCTTAAATGTCTTCTCATTATTGTTTTCGGTATTGTCCTTGGTTCAATTCCTGGGTTGATATTTCAAAATCGCTTAAAGTATGTATCTTTTTTTGCTTGTGTTTAAAACCCTTGTGGAATGACTGCTTTTCAGAGGTGTCTGCCAGATACGGATTGTTGCCACAGACCAGCTGCAGTCGATGTAGGGTAGGAAGGGGAGATGTCCTGGAACAGTGATGAGAAAGAACCTCCACAAGCAATGTCCAGATTCCCTCTGAGAAGTCTCAGGGTCTGATTTATTTTTATATCTTTAAGCAATAGCTGGGAGGCATTGGGCGGAACATGTTTACATTTTAAGTTGCCTTAGCAATTTCTATTGAAGTAAAG